TTATCACTCAGTCACTTTCTCTGTATGACTGGCTGACTTTTTTTCTTTTGGTAAGTGAATGTAGTGCTTGTGAACGTGCCAGACTGACACTCTGGGAACTAAATTCCTCTGTTTATTCCCGGATCATACACAGGATGCAGTAAGCCTGCTAGACAGCCAACATTTTGATGTTGCCATAGCATTCCCATGGAACATCATTGCTGCTAGAAGTAAGTCCAGGATTACTCAAACAAGATGGGACACAATTACCTTCAGGTTTCACTCTCTTGAAGCTCCACAATATTTGCACAACCAGTTTCAAGTGGTGCAGGGATTGGTAAAAGAGCAAACAGTAAAGAGAGCTAGTTACTCTTTCAGTGTTATCTGAACCACTTTGTTAGCAATCTCAGTCCAATCAAATGTGTTCTAACAACACTGAAAATATGGTTTGTGAGAACCAAGAACACAGACTGTGCCTGCACAAGGGGAAAAAAAAAGTGTCCTAAGGCCAGGGATTTCTAGAACGGTGCAATGCCATGAAGATATAGTTGAGCTAGTTGCAAAAGAGTGATCTCAGGAACTAAAAGCAGAAAATTGTGTCAGGTCTGCAATGTCACATAAGCACGTGAGCTTGTCTTGAGCAAAATCCAGTGTCGACATAAGGTGCTGTGCGTCACTGGGAGCACCCACTTGTGACACTGTTGCAAAAATCCAAAATAATCCTTAGCATGTTTATGAGGAAAAAAATATATATGAAGCATGTAGAAAGAAGACAATGATTTTACTTCACACAGAAATGGTAAGAGCTGGTTTACTTTTCACATTTCAAGGACATGGGGTTTCTGGAGATCTGAGAAGCCCTTTCTTTCACTTCACCAAAGACATGGCTGAGAGATGGCTTGAGTCCTTGCAGTAGGTGCATATGTATAGAAATAATACCTGAGAGCTTTTTAACTTTGCAAAGAAAGGCAAAACAAGCTCCAATAATTGTAAATTGAAGTAGACAAATTAACCTTCCAACATGAAAACAGATCCTCTCTCTGTGAAAGTAATTACATATTGGAACAATAAGTGCTGATATCTGAAGATACTGAAAAGATGCCTCTGAAAAGATACCTGGCAGAGGCCAGGTAGGCTCCTAAGCAAAGTGGGTCAGTCACGGTGAAGTCATACTTAGATTCTTCCTCACGTCCAAAGTCACAGCACTTATTTTCATTAGTATGACAGTGACCCCTTGCTCACAACTTCTAAAATGGATATTTCCATGCCAGTACTCCACCCAGGCTAATGGTTAATCCAAAAACCTAGGTGCCTTTACCTAGTCTTAAAAAGGCACACAAAATCTATGGTCTAGTTCAAGTCTGAGATCAATAGAAGCATCTACTAAGATGGTGTGATCCTATTGCCTTCACTAAGGGAGTGAAGCCATTTCAAGCCAATATTTTATTCTTTTTGTAAAAAGGATTACTTTTCCTTTTCAGCTCCCATGAAAAAGAAAAAAATAATCTTAAAAAAGACAAAAAATATGAATACTGTTTTGAAGGATAGTTCAAATACATATTACAGAACTTACTTCAATGAATGTAGTTATCTAGGAATTTGATAAGACGATGTTATTTAAACAATAAATTTGCAGAGGAAATAAATAATGTGCTGACAAAGACCCCTAAGTTCCTTAGGAAAAATGTTAACTTTTTCATTAATTAACTAGTTTATTTGTAAACTGTGGGGAAATTAATTATGTACTGAAAGAATAAGTGCTGTAATTCATGTGTGAATACACTGTTATTTGCACGTAATAAAGTAGTTGCATCCTTACTTCCAGTTCAAAATTGATTTTAAGCCCCAAATGTGGAACCTCTAGACACATTGCTACAATGATATTTTATACATATTTGAACCTCATAGTTTAATTTTTGCACAACTATCAATTACTTTAGTACACAGTGAGAAGTGATATAGCATAGAAACAAAGGACTTTATTATTTGACATCAGGCTTGCAACTGCCTCTTCCAGTTGCACAGTAGTGTTAGCCCTAAATATAAGAATACATGTCAGGTACTTAAATCCTGATCCTAAATAAGCTATGCAAGCTTTGGCTCTTGTTCATGCTGTCCTGAGACTGTCCTTGCTCATTATATGACATATATAATGCTCCAGCTGCCTCCATGGAAAGACAAAATCAGATTCCAGTGAAGTTAACATGAAAACTGTCACAGATAAGATGAAACCAGATTATTTTAAGAGTGATGGCTGAGGACCAATCTGCAATAGCAGAAGTCAGTGTAAAATGTGAAGTGTCTTGCACAACCTCAGGCCAGGCAAGGCAGATAAGCCGCTATCATGAACAATTTTTTGAAGGTCATTTTATTCCTTTTCAAAATAAAACCACTGTGTTTCAGCAATCCACTATGGTAGCACTGACAGGAAGAAAACAGACCAGTGGCCAAGAGTGCTGTTTCCAGACGTATGTAGTTATTTGCTTCCATACTGTACCCATCAAC